ACCCAAAAATTCAATTTCAGTCATTTTGCTTACCCTTTACTTGTTTCAAACATGTCTGAATGTTTTTGTTTGTTAGTTGGAAATCTGTAACCATTGCCCAATGTTTTTTTTTCTACTATGAATGTCAATGGTTACTGGTTTTCAGCTTTCTTCAAAATATATATTTTTTGGTGTTATAGTTTACCCAAAAATTAAATGTGTGTTTGTTCTGGTGAGCACAAACAAAATGATATCAGGCAAAGTTGGAAACCTGTAACCATTGACTTCCATTGTTTTTCATGCTACTGTATGAATGTCAAGCATTCTTCAAAATATCTTCTTTTGCCTTGATGGGATAGTTTACCCAAAAGTGAAAAGTCTGTCTTTGTTTACTTATCTTTTATTTTGTTTCAAACATGTTTGAGTTTGTTTGTTTGGTGAGCACAAAAGAAGATATTTTTAAGAATGTTGGAAACCTGTAACCATCAATTCCATTATTTTTAATTCTTTGAATGTCAATGGTTACCGGTTTTCAGCTTTCTTCAAAATATCTTCTTTTGCATAAAGGGACAGTTCACTCAAAAAGCAAATTCTGTCATTGTTGACTTTTACTTGTTTCAAACATGTTTGAGATTATTGTTTGTTTGGTGAGCACAAAGGAAGATGTTTTGAAAAATGTTGGAAATCTGTAACCATTGACTTCCACTGTTTTTCCTTCTTTTATTGTCAATGGTTACCAGTCTTCAGCTTTCTTTAAAATATCTTTGTTTTAAAATATTAGTTCAACCAAAAAGAAAATTTTGTCAGCGTTTACTTAATTTTTTTCTTGTTTCAAACATGTTTGAGTTTATTGTTTGTTTGTTTGTTTTGGTAAGCACTAAGGAAGATGTTTTGAAGAATGTTGGAAACATGCAACTTCTGTTGTTTTTCATACTATCAATGTCAATGGTTACAAGTTCCCATTGTTTTATTCTATTATGAATGTCAATGGTTACTGGTTTTCAGCATTCTTCAAAATATCTTTTTTTGTGTTAAAGAGAAAGTTCAGCCAAAAATGAAAATTCAGTCATCATTCTTCCACCCTTTACTTGTTCCAAACCTGTTTGTGTGTGTGTGTGTGTGTGTGTTTTAGTTTATTTTGGTGAGCACAAAAGAAGATATATTAAAGAATGCTGGAAACCTGTAACCATTGACATCCATAGTATTTTTTTCAGTATTCCTTTTTGTGGGCTCCAACAGAACTGGAAACTGGTTTGAAACTAGTGAAATGTGAATAAATCATGACAGAAATTTCAGTTTTGGGTGAACTGTCCCTTTAAGCAGATACACAAAAAGGATTACAGCTACTTCAGGCTGAGAAAATGGTGTGCAAGTTAAATTTTTTCTGGTGAACTGTCCCTTTAACCAGAACAAAAAAACTCAAACAGGATTACAACTACTTCAGGGTGAATAAATAGTGTGTAAATTCTCTTTTTTGGGTGAATATCCCTTTAAGACACAGTCGTTGGCACTGTAGAAAGGCATGAGAGATCGGAGGTGAAAGTGTTGACTAAAACTCAGAGTGATATTTGAGATATTGTCTGGTTGAGCTCAAACAGGTCTAGCGGAGTTGTGAAAGGAAATGAGTTTCCAAAGGTCCTAATATGATTGAGCACGAGAAATAACAGTCAAAAGAGTTTCTCGCTTGAGTCATAGCGGGAAATCAATTTGAGTTCAGACAGAATATGGGTGATATTAGTGTTTAGCCTCATAATAACCTCAGCCGTTCAGCTACTGTCTCACCGCTGACAGACGCTGGAATTTTAACACGCTTGGCAAATATTTATTCATGCTAATGCAAGTTAAAAAAAAAAAAAGATAAACAGAGCTTGAAGAGGCGGTTGTTGGAGAGGATGTTGTGTGATATTTAAAGGTTTAGTTCACCCAAAAAGGAAAATTCTGTCATCCTTTACTAAAGCTTTACTTGTTTCAAACCTTTATAAGTTTCTTTCTTCTGTTAAACACAAAAGAAGCTATTTTGAAGAATGCTTTAACCATTGACTTCCATTGAATTTGTTTTTTTTACTATGATATCACTTGTTTTCAATGTTCTTCAAAATATTTTCTCTTGAAACTTGTAATGATTTGGAAATAATAAGCAAATTAAAGTTTTTTGGGTGAACAATCCCTTGAACTTTAAGTGTTGAACTAATTTTGGTGAACTATAAGTGAAATATCTCCTAGACTGGTGTATGGAGTACTAGTTTTAAAAACTGGAATAAGCATGGATCTTCTGTGCACAGATGTTCTGAAAAAGTTGTTTTTATTTCAAACGTAATTAATGTTTAGTCTCAAAATGGTGTTTAGGCAGTTTTCTAATCGTTTTTTTTTTAAATTATTTTTATAAAATCATTGGAAAAATTGCAGATTATTGCATTACAATCAAATTCTGGAAAATTAAGGTTTTTAGTAAACACTTTATTAGTTATTATTCAGTAATTAACTAGTAACTACACTAAAAAGCGAATAGTTACTTTAAAAAAGTGAGTAAACCCATCGCCTTAAAAGCAACAAGTTAAATATGATATGATATATAATTACGATCAGTTTTCTTTACTTCAAAGAGTAAAGAGTAAACTCATTCATTCATTTTCCTTCGGCTTGCTCTGTATTTCAGAAGTTGCCACAGTGGAATGAACCACCAACTATCCCAGCATATGTTTTATGCAGTGAATGCCCCTTCAGCCACAACCCAGTACTGGGAAAAGCCCATACACTCTCACATTCTCACACACTCATACACTACTGCCAATTTAGTTCATCCAAGTCACCTATAGCGCATGTGCTTGGGCTGTGGGGAAACTGGAGCACTAGGGTTGGGCGATGTCGACCAATTTGGCATTATACGATGTCTAATGTGAATGTCTAATGCCGTTCTCACGCGAAAAGCCGCCGGATCGGAGAAAAAAAAAAAAAAAAAGCAAAAGCCCTCGTCTTCGATTTCGACCGCGTTTTTGGATCCCGCCGCGTTCTCGCCCTTATTTTTCGGATTCCGTTTTTCGTCTTACCTGATTTCCGGAACCTGCTGTTCCCCGGACTCGATCCCAGTCGTCGTCCACCGCGGCCGGCTCCGGCTTCTCCTCCTCGTCCGGGGTCTCCGCTCCGCCGACGCAACGCTGTGAGCTAGGCGGACAAACTGATTGCGTCGGGAAAGCCCTCCACTCGGAGACGAGCCGTCGGCCGGCGAGCGCGAAGAGGAGGGGCGGAGCGACGCCACACCGCCCTGCAGCGTTCGCTCAAAAAAAACCAAACGCGGCCTTTACATGCCACGTAGTCCGCGGGGCTACGTTTCCAGAATGAGCTTGGGTTGACAAATTACCACCAGTCAATCACTTTTTCCGCGGGACTCTGGCATGAATAGGCAGAGTGATCTGTGTCATTATAATGGTGTTGACAAACTTGGTAATAAAGGTGCACAAACAACAGCAACCAACCAACAGTGTCTGAGGTTTTCACTAAGATTACTAAGTACACGTGTGACAGCGAAAGATTGAAGCAGTGTACTGATGCTTTGACACATCACCTGATAGATTCAAAAGTCAGAAGAGTAATTAAAGTAATTAAATATCACGTTTAACAACTATAGTGAGAACCCATCCAGTGGCACATCCTTGAAAAAAAAATGGACGATGGCATCATCTATCGACCCAACCCGGAGCACCTGCAGGAAACCCAACACAGAGAGAACATGCAAACTCCACACAGAAATGCCAAATGACCCAACCTGCGACCTTCTTGCTGTGAGGTGACAGTTTTAACCACTGAGCCACCGTGCCGCAAAAGAGTAAACTCGTTGCCTCATAATTAAGTAAGCTCAACTAATCGCTTTAATAGCATTTAAAAGCTTAAGCTGTTATATATAAACAGAGTTAGCCTGCAGCTATATAGTTTATAGGTGATGTCTATGTTGGGTATCGACCTAGCCCTACTGCCTAATGACTACAGCCCCACTGACACCCTCTGCCAATGCATTGATGAAACGAACAGTTGGATGTGTCAAAACTTTCTTCAGTTAAACAAAGAGAAAACTGAAGTGATTGCGTTTGGGAACAGAGATGAGGTTCTCGAGGTGAATGCCTACCTTGGCACTATCAAACAACAACAAATAAGGTCAAGAATCTTGGTGTGACTCTGGAGTTAGATCTGAGTTTCAATAGTCATGTCAAAGCAGTCAGTTAATCAGCATACTATCATCTCAAAAACATTGCAAGAATCAGACTTAGAGAAACTAGTTCATGCTTTTATCAGCAGCAGGGTGGATTACTGTAACGGCCTCCTCACTGGTCTTCCTAAAAAGACAGTCAGACAGTTGCAGCTCATCCAGAATGCTACGGCCAAGATTCTGACCAGAAACAGGAAATCAGAGCGCATCACACCTGTCCTCAGGTCTCTACACTGGCTCCCAGATACATTCAGAATAGACTTTAAGGTATTAATATTTTGTCTATAAATCACTAAATGGCCTTTGACCTCAATACATTACAGATATGCTCACTGAATACAAACCTAACAGATCACTCAGATCTTTAGGATCTTATAAACTAGAAATTCCAAGAGTTCAGTCAAAGCAGGGTGAATCAGCTTTCAGCCACTATGCCCCTCGCTGCTGGAATCAGCTTCCAGAAATGATCAGATGTGCTCCAACATTAGACACATTCAAATCGAGACTGAAAACACATCTGTTTAGCTGCGCCTTTACTGAATGAGCACTGTGCTACTGTATGTCTGACAGATTGCACTATTATGTTTTTCTCTTCTTTTTCATTCTTTTATCACATTTTATCTGTTTTTGTGTTTTTTTTATCATTTTTATTATTTGTTTTATTTTCCTCATACTTGTTTCTTTTATTCTTGTTTATGTAAAGCACTTTAAATTGCCACTGTGTATGCAATGTGCTATATAAATAAACTTGCCTTGCCTTGCCTATGTTCAATGCAGTGTATTTGTGCATTAAGTGTGTATGTGTTGTTTTTCCCCTCAGAGGTATGGTTATCAGAACATAGCCACCAGCACTTGCAGATGGCAGCACCAGTCGCAGCCCTGCCGCCGGAGATGGTGGTCGCTCGTGAACTGCGACGCATAGGCGATGAGTTCAATCGCCTCTACTGTGAGGTAAATATTCAGCTGACACTGCAGGATCACGAGCGAGAGATCTACACTGTGGTATATGCAAATTGTTTTTTTTTTTTTTTTTTCAGTCAACCAGCCGAAGCACATTACAAAATTGCCACTTTTAAAGGGCACTCTCCTTTTTCAAGATTTAAGACAATCTTTTGTGTCTCCAGAATTTATCTGTAAAGTTTCAGCTCAAAACACTGTGCCTTTAATGCTGGTTCTCCCCACCCATCGTTTGCATGTGCCTGTCAGAGTGCGTCTGAATCTGTCCAGCTGCGTCAGATAAACAGCATAGTGACAGACATGAAGGAAGCAGATCGTAACGTTTGTGAGAAATCCTACAGTAAGAACTTTCCCAATGATTATTTGATGTATTTGTTGTGGAGTTCATTCAAGCCTTTCTGCAACGAGTCACACACAATGTCATTACAAAGTTTGCGTACACACACAGCGGACACACAAACAAACACACACACACAGCGCGCAAGCTTAGCTTTGCACTGTTTTTACATGGCAAACGTAAAGAAACCACATTAATATTCACTGCTGTATGGATATCCGTTATGTTGACGTACAAAATAAACCTGATTTACATTTACAAACCGCCCTGTCTTGTTGATATGATTATACACCGTAAAAAATGGCTGAGATTTCAACAGTAAAAAACTGTTAAAATGCTACAGTAAAAATCTGTTACCTAATTAACGGTATGTTTCCTTAATATATACGGCGAATAACCGCAAACTTACTTTCCCAGAATTCCCTGCATGGCACGTCACTTTTTATACTTGTTGACATTACTATGGATCTTTTTAGTTGTTTCCCGATCAGTAAATTTACATTAGAGATTTATGTTAAATCTAATATTGATAAACAAAGTTTATTTCATGACTTTAATTTTATGCGTGTTGCCATACTGGTATTTAGTAGTTGTGTGAATTACATGAGCACCTTCTTTACACTGATACACTGCATAAGTTGGCGGTATATGATGCAGTAATCCCTTTATCTTGATTAATGTTTTTTTAAGATTGTTAGAAGCCAAAATCAAAATCGAAACTGGATTTTACATTAATTGCACAGCCCTATGAAATTCAATAATCAAATGTAAAAATATCACTGCAGAGTCTTTCCTCTATAAATAAATCATTCATTCCTTTTCGGCTTAGTCCCTTTAATAATCTGGGGTTGCCACAGCGGAATGAACTGCCAACTTATCCAGCATATGTTTTACGCAGCGGATGCACTTCCAGCTGCAACCCATCTCTGGGAAACATTTATACACACTCATTCACACTACGGATAATTTAGACTACTCAATTCACCTGTACCGCATGTCTTTGGACTGTGGGGGAAACCGGAGCACCCGAAGGAAACCCATGCGAATGCAGAGAGAACATGCGAACTCCACACAGAAACGCTAACTGACCCAGCCGAGGCTTGAATCAGCGACCTTCTTGCTGTGAGACGACAGCATTACCTACTGCGCTAATGCGTAACCCTTAAATAAATCAATTAAATTAATTTTAATTAAAGTTACAAATGCTACAATTTATTGTGCCAGAACGCTTTAAACTCTCTTGATATGCTGATATGATATGCTTGAGTCACAAACCTAATAAAAACACAAGTAAATGATCAAATGTTTGCTAAAAATCGTCAATGACTGTAGCTCCTGGTCAACTATAATCCCAACTCAACATGCAGATCCTGCGATAAGTCTATTGCGGATGCACACATTGAGATATCGATGCTGAACCGATGTATTGTGCAATGATGAAATATGTTCGCTCGCTCAAGCAATGCCTTTCATTCTCCATCCAGAGGAGCTGGTTTGATTTAAGCATTTTTTTGCAGCCTCCACCTTCTCATATCAGCTCAAATTAGGTGTAAATCAGGACAGAAGCGAAAACACAAAAAGCGGCACCGCAAGTCTCAGCAGATTAGGCTCTAATGAGGGAAATGTTTACTCCACCGCTGTAAAGGGAGCTTTATTTTCATAACTTGTATTTCTTAATGTTGCATCACTCGCAGCAGTAAAGAAATCAAGGTTTTTTTATGTTTGTGTGTGTGTGAAGGATCAGAGATGATATTCACCCTTTTGTCTCGATGTCATTGCCCATTGGTAAATCATTCAGGCTTCAGCAGATGTTGTTATTGAAGAGATTTGTGGTCTTAAAAAGTCACACTTTTTAATTTTTGAGACCCCCTTCAGAAAATTGTCAAACGCTTTGGGTGTAATTAGGGGTGGGTGATATGACCTAAAACTAATATCACGGTATTTTTCATCTTTTGAACGGTGACGGTATAATATCACAGTATAATAAGTGAACCTAGTAAAGGCGAGCTTCATTAGCAATGATGTGTACAGTATTAGATTTTACATTTAGCATACATTTGCGCTGAACACGCAGTGAATGCATCGCATTGAGTAGAGCTGCACAATTAATCCTTAAAATATCGCGATCTCGATTCGACCCCCTAGACCAGGGGTCTCAAAATATTTTCATCAAGTACCACCTCAGAAAAAAATTGTCTCTCCAAGTACCACCAAAATGAGCAGTATTGAAATACAGTAGCGTAGTAGGCCCAGTAGAGCAGCTACAACTCTGCACAGTAAAAAAAAACGTGGCAAATTACCTCAGAAATATAGGCTATATGTCATATATGGCACATTATAAACATAATTTTTGATACGTTTAGAAATATATATAGCATGTACATGACATATTTCATTCCTCCGCGTACCACTATGAGGAAGCCCGCGTACCACTAGTGGTACACGTACCACAGTTTGAGAACCACTGCTCTAGACGATCTTAATCCAGCATTTCTACGATTCTGCCAATCATATTTTCAAGTTTAGGAGAGAAGAAAAGGCGGCTGCACGAGTCTTTTCATTGTTTCACACACGTTGCTCAGTGACATTGACACCTCCAAATGATGTTGTATTTATATGTATTTATAAGGTATAATTCACCTAAAAATGTCATTTTTGTCTTAATATAACAATATTTTTGCGATCAGTAAATCACACGTGACATGACCTGCTGACCGTGAGCTGTTATCACAGAGAGGGCGCGCGCTCTACTTAATGACAGACGCGCGCACGTCTACTTTAGTGAACAGAACCTGCATATGTTGCGAGTAACAGGTAACACAGTAGCAAATAATATTCAGTTTGTGGCACAGAGTGATCGATTGGGAGCCGCGCGCGAAGTATGAACAGCACTCAGCAGTCAGAATAAAACCAAAAGTGTGCACTTCATTTAAATAATAATTCTTTCATAGTGAACCCACAGTTGTGCATGAAAATAACTGTTTACAATGTCAGTATAACTACTCTAGCCTATATATTGTTGAATATAATCTGATAAAGGCAAATGTCTGATTTTACCAGTGAATAAAATTGTCTAATATGACAGATTGCAAGCATATATCTCAAACATAATAATTCAACATCAGAATTATTATAAGCAGAATAGAATTATTTATAGAAACCAGTAGACCTACACATAATATTATTATCGATGTTGTTGCCATATGTTTTTACCATTCCTTTATTTTACATCTGCAGAATCGTGAGACAATCTTGATCTTTCTTAAAAAAATAAATAAATAAATAAAAAAATAAAAAAATCGAAAAAAAGAAAATTCGGAATTCTCATTTTAGCCAGAATCGTGCAACTCTAGCATTGAGATTTGGGCGCCTTCTCCGAAAACTTGAGTTCTCGGAGACTCGATTGGTCTCAGCTGTCGGATCAATATTCACCACATGTCATGGTTGCTCTCATCTGCGCCTTTATTATTATTATTATAACTAGGTGGGGTTTGCAACCCTGTGTACTTTTCACTCTTCAGCCGCTTGCATTCCCGGCAGTCACAAAAGCTCCCTGTCATCTGACAGCGGAAAGCCTTCAGTGACTGACAGCTAATATGAACCAATATAGTGGCAGGGAAGAGCGATTCAAAAATCAAAACAGGTCACGCTACAACCATTATATGCAGTCGCACAAATGCTCCCAAATCTCATGTCGTTGCATAGCTTAAATTTCGAGCGCATATAATTTATTTATTACGGTATTGACGGTATTAGAAAATCCATGTCGTGGCGCAATGTCACACCGGTAATGACTATGACACCGGTGTACCACCCAACCCTAGGTGTAATACACAATAAATGCGCTATATAATTACACATTACCTACCTACTTTGGCTTAATCTACAATTCATGCTATTAACATTTCATTAACTGAGATTATTAGCTCAATATAGCGCTAATTTGTTGCTTATAACAGTAATGGGAATAATGGTGCTATATATAAACGGCGTTACTAAAGGCCATCTGAATTTCATGCGTCAATGTTGTCATGTGAAAACCACCTATAATCCACTCTATTGTATATAATCAGTAGCACAAACGCATTTGAAGCACACAGTTGTGTTCAAACTAAGCAACTTCATAGTTTATTCCCATCATAATCACTCAATTTTGTGGCTAAATTTTCTGGATACACTTTAATATTCACAATATATTTACCATGCATTAATAAGTCAAAACCTCAGTGTTTTGAAATGTTTACATCACATATTAAATGACTAAAGTTAAAGGCTGACTCCAAGCCATGTTATGCATTCCTTATGCAAATAGCCTTGTGAGCACAGTATGTCCATTTCTGGTTATCTATATGAACATGCAAACATGTTTTCTCTGTTTGGTGACGTTACTCACTCTGATAAGACTCTGTTTTTGCATGGGTTAAATCGGAGATCATTAATACCTCCTTTGAAAGACTTATTGCCTTTTGCCTCAGTGTTGTGCTTCCTGATTGGGCGTCCGTCCAGTTGGACAAAACTCTGTCTGCTGGTAGTATTAGTGTTTATTACATTAGTGCAAGGCCTTTCGCTCCCTTTTTGGCATTTAAGCTGACTTTATTGAGTGAGTATGACTCTAGTTTCTCAGTGTAGGACTGTAAACAGTTTTGATTGAGGCCTT